CAGAGAAACCCTGTCTTGAAAAACCAAGAATAAATAAATAAAATAAAAATAAAAAATAAATCCCATATATACATATACATATGTAGGCACACACACACACACACACACACACACACACACACACACACACACACACACACAGGCTTTATTAGAGTGGCTCACAGTAGGCTGTGGTCCAGATAGTCTAACATCGGCTGTCTCCTGACAGAACTCCTATAATTTTTCAGTCCATGAGACTGGATGTATCCACAGACCCAATCTGATGTTGGAGTCCTAGAGGATTCCTAGAGAGCTGCTGGGCTTCAGTCTACATTGGAATCCCAAAGAATTAAGTTCTAATAACAACTAAGAAATACCTCAGCAACAGGATAGATGAACTTGCCAGCAAGAGTTAAAGGCAAGTGGGTCAAAAGCAAAAGCTTCCTTCTTTCATGTCCTTTTATGTGTCCAGATTTAGGGTGGGTCTTCCCATCTTTTGGGTTTTTTTTGTGGGGGTTTTTGTTGTTGTTGTTTGGGTGGGGTTTTTTTTTTTTGGTTTTTGGTTTTGGTTTTTTTGTTTTGGTTTGGTTTTTTGAGACAGGGTTTCTCTGTGGCTTTGGAACCTTCCCTGGAACTAGCTCTTGTGGACCAGGCTGGCCTCAAACTCACAGAGAGCCACCTGCCTCTGCCTCTCGAGTGTTGGGATTAAAGGTGTGTGCCACCACCGCTCTGCTTAGGTCTTCCTATATTAAATGGTCCAATCAGTAAAGTCCCTGATGGTGATTCCTGGCTGCTTGGGTTTAAGTTGATTCCAGATGTAGTCAGCTGACAACCGAGATTAGCCATCACATAAGCTTCTACCCTAGCCCATGCCTATCACCAGCCACCAACTGAGCATATTAGACCTCTGGCCAGGCTGGATTACATCCATCTTCTCTCCCCCTCTTCATGTTCCTACCCCATTCTCACCCCAACCACCCAAGGCAAACAGAATGACGGGGCAAAGAAAGTATAAAATATGAGGAATGTCGGGGGAAGAAGAGCTCCCCACCAGTGCTGCCTATGACCGATTCCACCCTATGTACTAGATCTGCCTCCCCAGCTCCATCTCTGAGAGACTCAGAATGGCATCACAGCAAGGTACATGGGGTGTTAGGGCTGAGGCTAGGGACATGTTGAGTGCAGCCTGCAGATCCACAGAGCTCACCCCATCGCCAGTGTGTCTTGGTACAATTCACTTAGCCACAGCATCATCTTTCTGTCCAGTGAAAGAGGGGTGGTGAAACGTGTCTTCTTAAGTTGTCGTGAGAATTAGAAATAATGTCTCACTAAAAGAGACTGTTCCCAGGTACATAGGGAACAGCTTGGTAAGAGCAGGTGTGTGTGCTGGGCATCCTTTGAGTTTCTCTTACAGATGCTGGGTACCCAGAGATGCTTACTTAGAGGCAAACTAGGGATGCCCCTCCATGACACCTCTGCAACAAGCTAGAATAATTTGCTTTCTAGGGAGGGGGCCTCCATTACTCTAAAACTGGTATGGTTCTCCCAGACTGCACCTGGGACAATGGCTGTCACCTACGAATCAGCATCCTGCTTCCAATCTCCTAGAGGGCTATCCTAGAGGAGGAGGGGCAAATGATGTCCCCGTTGTGATGTAGGGGCGGGGCAGGGCCCCAGCGATCTACCAACGCATTGTTTTAAAAGTCCTCTCCCATCATGCATTTTAAAAAATGATGATCTAGCTGTGGGTATACTCCATTAGCAAAGGAGTCAGAAGCAGCCTTGGCCTTCAGACTGTAAGAACTGGAAATCTAGCCAGCCCTAGCTGGAGGGTGTGGGGACATCTGAGGCAAGGAAGTCCAGACTAGGCCCTGCAGAGCTAGGAGCTGGAGGTCCCTGGCAGATCAGGTAAGTGGGCTCCTATGGGTCTTTTGAGTCAGGGAGCAACACCCTGGAGACACTTGATCAATAGGTCTGAACCAAGATGCAATTTCTAGGTTTTCTCAAAGATGTAGTTTCCAGAAGGAGTGGACTGAGGGGCCTAACTGGATTTGGTCCCCACGTTGGATTGGGATTAAGGACGGGAACAGAAATAGGCCACGCAGCAGTTTAGCAAGGGGGCTAGAGCATAGAAATGACAAAATCTTGAACATGGGTGCAGCAGACCAGTTGTCTAAAGCCTTTGCTGCAAGTGGGCCCGTTGGTCAGTTCAAACTGCTCAGAGCCCAGCACAGCTCAGCGCCCTCGGCCAAAGTCAGCCCCTTGAGCCCACATAAACCTCAGAGCTGGTTCTCAGCACCAAAACTGATGCACACAGCTGACCACTAAAGGGTGGGTGTCTGGGTGGCAGGAGGATGACAGGCTCAACCCACTGAGGTCACAGGCTATAAGGCCGGCACTCTCTTCCCATTGAAGGACCCACGATCTGTATCTCAGTATTTGTCAGTAGTGTCCTGCCTTCATTTTCAGGCACGGAGAGGTTACATACTTTTCCAAGTTGTAGTAGGTGCAGGCAGCACTTGCTTGAGTTCCTCTTAGATATCTTTGTGAAAGAACTTCTTGGTCTTTTCATTCTGGGGCTAAAGACAGGGCAGGAAACCCTACCCAGGAGACTGAGCAGCCAAGGGTGACTCAGTCCCTCAGTCTGACCAGGTGGGTAGGCTAGGAGTGCACAGCAGAGGGAGTAGCAGTCAGCTGAGCCCGGGTGTGGTCCTCCATGTATTGACCCTGGAGGGGCAGAAGAGAGCTCACTGTGGTCCCTAAATGCGAGGCTTTGCTAGTCACAGCTAATGGAGCAGGTGGAGGGTGCCTTAGGTCATCCAGTAATGTCATCAGGCCTCTAAAATATGAACTAGAGGAAAGGGGTCTCTCTCACAGCCTTCAAGCTGCTTCTACAGATCCACCCCCACCCTCGGGCATCTACCTTGACTTCTCCCAGACAAGCCTACAGCTGGTCCCAGCCCACAGGGAGAGGTTGCCAACCGCATAAAACCCCCTACTCTGCTGATGCGGGCTTCTTTTGACACAAAAGTGACTGTCCTGGTGGCCTCAGGTGGACTATCCAAGCTTTGGGAATTTTGTTCATTGTTCCCAATGCCCCTTGTCTCCATTATCGCAACACAATTTATCCTGCAAAAGGCCACTTGAGTATTTTCATTGCATATAAATTGTTGTCCATATCTTTGTTTTCCTAGGATGGTTTTCTAGATGTGCCATTGTTCCCAGTAGGATAAAAGACCTGGTGTTCTTACCAACAGTCCATATTATAATTTTCAATAAGATGGTAAACTTGATACCAGCAAATGAGAACCTATTTAATCTGCATTCTTAAAACTTTTTCGTGGAAGCCCAGCATGGTGGCTCATGTCTTTAATCCAAAGCACTTGGGAGTCTGGGATACAGGGATTCCTGTGGGATAGAGGTCAGTCTACTCTGCTTACTGGGTTCCAGGCCAGGCAGGGCTACAAAATTGCAAATGGAACCTTTTGTCTTTGTTTTAGATGACTGCATAATGATTTTGTGAGTTGTTGTTGTTGTTTATTGTTTGTATTTTATTCCATGAAATATTTGCTTTCTAATATTGACATGATAGAGGTTCTGTCTTCTGAGTCAGCAGTTCTTTGCTTTTCATACTTGTAGCAGGCATTTCTTTGTTTTTTTTTCGAATGTCCGCAAAGGGTTGCTTTTTTTTTAAAAAGCCATATAAGGACTTTAACTTTTATGTACCAAAATCTATTGACATTTCCTTTATTATTTCTTTTTTTAAGGATTTTTATTAATATGTATACAGTATTCTGCCTGTATGTAGGCCAGAAGAGGGCACCAGATCTCATTACAGATGGTTGTGAGTCACCATATGGTTACTGGGAATTGAACTCAGGACCTCTGGAAGAGCAGCCAGTGCTCTTAATCCCTGAGCCATCTCTCCAGTCCCCTTTATTATTTCTTGTTTTGCTTGTTTGCTGTCTTTCTATTTTGTTTGCTTTTGTTTTTTCAAGACAGGGTTTCTCTGTGAAGGCCTGGCTATCCTAGAACTCACTCTGTAGATCAGGCTGGCCTGAAACTCACAGAGATCCACCTGCCTCTGTCTCCCAAGTACTAGGATTAAAAATGTGGTGCTTAGAAAGTTTTTTCCCAAAACTAATTACTTCGCTCATTAACATGGCAGAGCTGGGGAGCTGGGGAGCTGGAGTGAGGAAGAGGGAGGGAAGGTGGGAAGGAGAGAGAGAGAAAGAGAGAGAGAGAGAGAGAGAGAGAGAGAGAGAGAGAGAGAGAGAGAGAGGGAGGGAGGGAGGGAGGGAGGGAGGGAGGGAGGGATCATCTGGAAGGGAGGCAGGACAATGGATGATTAAGGCGGAAGAGAAGGGATGATGTGCTGTTGACTGAAGGTATTTGGGGAAGCTTCTTGGACCTTCAGGTGAGACACTCATTTCTGAGGGTAGATGAGGGGGCAGGGAGTGACAGACCAGTTTTGCAAAGGCAGGGTGCAGGTGGGGAATCAGTGGCGAAGACTCTGGGACAGGTACTCAAATCCCCCATGGTTGTGGTGCGGGGAAAAGCAAGGAGGACCAGAAGAGAGGTCATCAACTCGGAGGATAAGAGAGTGGGAGGAGCCTAGGCCTCGTGGAGACTAATACAAACAAGTTTCTGGACTGGAAGAACTGTGGTCTACATGTCACTGGCTGCAACGGCATGTAGAATATTGCATTTCCCTCGGGAGGTATCTAAAGCACTTGGGTACCATGAAAGGTCTGATCCAGTAGCAACTGGGAGGTGATGATCCAGTAGCAACTGGGAGGTGAGTCTTTCTGCAATGGAGAGGAGCAGAGCCAAGAAGAGTTAAACAAAGCTCATGTGTAGAGCATGTTCTCAAAGCCTTTTCACACATAGGCTGACATGCTCGCCCAGAGTCAGGCAGGAAGCCCATGGCTGTCTATCAATGTAGGCACCATCATCGTTATGCACTAGGGACAGGGACTTGGACGTTTACCTGACAGTCTCCTTTTCTTCCATCTCTGCAGGATCCTAGTGCTGCCCTACCTCTGTCGCTGACCATGAATGGGATGGCCAACGTGAATTCTGCCAGCCGCTCATACTATGCCTCCTCCATCCCTGTGCCTCGAGCTTCCTCACAGACCAGGATTCACACCCCGGGCACGTCTCCTCAGCTTCGGCCTCGTCAGGCTGACTTGGCCCTGAGCCCTCAGCGAGCTGTCTCCCCAAGACCGGGCAAGGCTGCAGTTTCTTCCAGAAACTCCTCCCCCAAGGCCTATAGAGGAAGAGGCACCCCCAGGGCTGCAGGGCCAGCCAGGGAGCTAGCTGAGAGTGTGGAAAGCCTCCCTAGTTCCCCCTGGAGCAGCCCCAGGGTAACCCCCAAAAGAGCCCTCTCCAGTCAGACAGGATCCAGAAGAGCAGGGGAGACACAAAGCACTCAGAGGAAGAGGACCCAGGAAGGAATCTCAGTTCGCCAGACCAGGGGAAGAAGCCCACCCCAGGCAAGCTGTCATGGAGAAACTCAAATTCCAGGGCCTCCTGAAGGTCGAATGCTTCCTAGCTGCCACGAAAAAGATCAAAGAGACAAAAATTACAAACCCCCTAGGTCTCTGGAGCCTGATGAAGGAGCTGCTTCAGGAACTTCCTCTCCAGTCTGCAGCCCTGTGCAGAGCAAGAGGCCCTCTCCTACTCAGGGGGCCATTAGCTTTTCCTCCGCCCATCAGCAGAGCCAGCCAATCACAGCCACGGTGGCCCCCTTTCAGTACAGGTGAGTTGGGGAGTGGGCGAGGCAGATAGAGAAAGAGGGGCATTGGGGTTGAGACCAAGGGGCAAACTCACTGAGAACAGAGACTTTGGTACAAATGGCCGGTGGAGACTGCAGGGGATGGCTAGAAACTTGGGAGTGTGAGACAAGACTATATAATCTTAAGTTCTCTGGTTTTTCTCAACGCTGGACCTTGACAACAGAGACTCATGAGGGTGTCTCTAAAGTGGCCATTTCACACTCCTTGGAAATGATGAAACTATATTAGGGTGTTAAAGATGCTTAAGCACCCAGCGCATAGTCAGGAGGGTTCACGGGTGCTTTAAACTTGCCAAATTTGTGTAGGCCATTTGTCACGACTGTGTGTTGGACAAACTGTGTCGTCTTGAGCACTGAGTCTTCAGTAGCTTGAGCAAAGCCTCTGTGCTTCTCCATTCTCAGCATTTTTGTGTCTGTCTGTCCATCTCTCTCTCTCACTTGCTTGTTTGCACCACTTGTCACACAGCCTTGTGCCTGTTTACGTGCATGGCGAATTGGCAGTCAGAAATACTTCTTAAACGGCTAGGTGGGTGCTGTTGTCATTGGCAATTCATTTACAGCCGTGCGGTCATGCCAGCCTCTCTAGCTTTCAGACACAGCAAGTTGAGTGCGTAGAATAACATTTAGCCAACTAGGCTTTCCAAGTAAAAAATAACTCTTTGCTAACATGACCACATTAAGTAAACTAAATTTTAAATACTAATCATTATGTAGGTTAGAAAAGCCTGGGCACAAATTAAACCTCTTCCCGACTATACTCACTTTCTGAGTTTCCCCCATTCCCATGCTAATATAGGAAGTAGCTGCCATTTTGCATTTTGGAGTATATAAAAGCTTGTGCATCAGACCCTGGGTAGTAGGGACCTCTGAGACATCTGAAGGCCAGGTCCCTAGGAGTATCATCCTTCACTAGCGGTCAACTCACATGTGTATAGATCTCTAAACAATTGTGTGCAACCTTATATCACAGTAATAGGTGTTGGGGTCTGGGACAAGGAAATTAATACCCATTATATTCTGCATGTGGTCAGCCTCATTTGTAAGGTTATATTCACTTATGAGCAGCGTGCTTTAAAAGGACATTGGGCCAGCAGTCCCACAAAGGTGTTTTCAGAATGGTTAGAGTTAGTGAAAAAGCTAGCTTGCTCTAAAAAGAGCAGGTCCAGGATGGTCTGTGAGCTGTTCTCAAATATGGGAAAGGCTGTCACGTTGTAAGATGAATTAGTTTGCTTGGGGCAGCTCCAACAAGCTGACTCAGTGTCATGGTGGCGAGGAGTTAGCTCAAGACAGATTTGAGGCCGGATAGGAAGAACTTTCCGACAGCAAGAAAGGCTGACAAACTGACTGTAAGTGGGGGAGTTATATTCCTGCAGGACCCCAGCAGATTCCACAGCCCCAGAGTTCTTAGCCTGACGAGCCCTGTTGCCCGACTGTACCTATTAATGCACAGATGTCCCTCTTTCCAGGGGGCAGGTCACATCTGACCCTTTTCTTTCTCTGCTTAGATTCTGAAGCTAAAGCTGAACCAAGCATAGACACAGGGAGGGTGCTCCTTTTTTTTGTTTCTCATCTGCTGGGTCGAACCCAAAGCCACCTGCGTGCTAGGCAAAGCCTCTGCTACGGAGCCACACTCTAGCCCCAGCCTTCTTTTGAATGACCCCTTCCCTAACAGCTAAATGCCTCCCTGGTGATGGTGCCTTGCTTTTCCTACCTGGCTTCCTTCATTTCAAATTCATTCTTTGGGGGAAAAGTGTAAAGGTATTAAATAGTTTCAGATTTTATATTATCCACACTACAAGTCCCCTGGTATATTTACAGTCTGGCATTTTTCAAAGAGGTCAGAATATTTCCCTCTGAACATTTTAACGCAACTTAAACAGAGCGGTGCTTCCAGCACTCAGCAAACATTGACTGCATGTTTGCATTTTAAACAGACACAGAATTGTTGCTCCTCTCTGGAAAGTGGTGTCCTTACCCCCCCCACCTCCACCTTGCACTTCCCAGGCCCTCAGTTGTGGTTGGAGGTTGGGTCACAGCACGAGTAAGTTTTGGATGGAGGATACCCCGGCATGCTGTAGGCAGATGGGCTAGATCTCCATACACCCTGCACGGCCGAGAGCTGCTGTCATGGGCGAGCTCTGCCAAGAGCTTGGCTAGGCCACTCATCTAAACTCTATAGCCAAGGAGGTGCCATCTGTTCCCTAGAATCCATAGACATCCTGTTTTTGTGGAAATCTACCCTCCACCCTCAACACCCTGGGCTTCTGTAAAACTTCAGGTGTATTCAGAAGCAGAGAAGGTTTCCTCCTCCTCATCTCCAGCCTGGTCTGGGAAACGAATCCATTACCCATCTTTCACCCAGCCTTCCAGTCATATCACTTCAAAACCCTGAGTGTGGTCCTCCCAGTGACACTCATCTGCCTGCCTCTTCCCACCTCCTCTTGATGCCCTTCCTCCTTGGGCCCCAGAAGGCAGGCTGTTCTCTGGCCATCTTCCAGTTTCTGGTCTCACACATCCAATTCCATCACAGCTTCCTCCTTACTCCTGGTGTGTTTTTATAAAGGGCCACCACACCTGCGGCATCATCGTACATCCCCCGCCTACCATTCCCTCACAGTGCACACCTTCAGTCCTCAGGCAAGCCTTGGGTCAGACTTTAGTTAGGAAGGTGTGGTTGGTTAAAGGTGTCAGGAATGTAGGGTCAGTGAGGTCACCGTTGTGGTTTTCCTCTTCTCTGGCTCAGCCTCCCCCTGACTTCTGGTCTACGTTGTCCTGTCCTTTCAGGCTGAAAAATGAGACAAGCCCTGGCATATGGAAGAAAGGGAAGGCAGGTATAGACACAAGTGCAGAGCCAAGAAAGAGCAGAGAGGCAAAGGCCACCTTCCTTCATGCTCCTGGGTCTGGGGTTCCTGATACACACAGATGATTCATTCTTACCGGCCCTTGTAACACAACGATGGCAGCAGACTCGTGACAGTAAACCCTTGCTGTTTCAGGGCTGGTTAGCACCTGTCTTCTCCCAGACAGACACTGCTTAGCTTTTTATATAAGATGCTGTCCAGTGAAACCTTTACTACATATAGCATTCCCTCTCCTCAGTAGGATGTTGTATTATTTTCATAACAATATGTTGCATGTCCATACTAACCTTTTCCAAGTAAACAAATGTCTCATTTCCCCCATCCCTTTGACTTGTACATTTGAGTAAGATGAGTGTCCCCATTATATCAAGCACTTCCCAGAGGCCAGCAGCACGAGATCTCCTCCTTCTCAGTTTACTCCACCCTGCCTTGTGCCCAGCACACATCTGAGGGCTGGCAGGCACACAACACCTCATTGCTACCAAGATGGCTTAGGGAGAGTCAGCAATAGTCACAAACCTTTGCATCAAACCCAGTAAGCAACTTCAGCATGGCCCTTCGTAGGTCATCTCTCCAGGTCCTGATGAAAACCAGGCCCAGAGAGGGGAAGATGTTTGCTTGGGTTACACAGTGAGCTCATGGCAGCGCTGGATTCAGAGTCCCAGACGTAGAGGTATTGGAAAAAGTGAAAACCTAAAAGACAAATTGCAGCAGCACTAGAGACTCCCAGGGTCCCCTGGCCCAGCCTGTCAATTTCCCCTCTTGTCTGCATAGCCCTCCCCCCTCCTGCCAAGCTGCCAAAGGGTCCATTTAGCTGGCGACATTGGGCGGGGATATGGGGGTAGGCGGGACTGCTCTGAGCCCAGGGTAATTGCATGTGAGGAGAGCTCCCACAGCCTTTGTTCCTGGAGCAGTTGTACGAATGGGGCTGTGTTCTGAGGTCTGTGCACTTGGTAGCCAGTGCCCAGAGACCTCGCCCTTCCTTCCTGTTGGCACCATGGATCTAGCATGGACTTGTCCTCCCAGGAGTCACTGTGGCTCAGGCTGAGCCCACCCCTCCTTTCCTGACCTAGTGTGCTTGAGGTGAGCAATTCCATAGAGGCCAAATGCCCTCTGAGTGCCAGGAGTCAGTGGCTTCAACGTCAGAGACAGCCTTCCCTGCGGGTATGCTCTCTGCTGAGCAAACATGAGCATCCTAAGGGCAAGAATCACAGTGGGGCAGAGGAACCCAGGCCTGAGACACTGGGGTACCTTTCTGCTCTTTGAATGATGTATGCTGCTGGGCAGCAAAGGGCAACAGATGTTGAACATTCCAGTGCTCTTGGGGACTCCTTCCTGGCTCAGCCTGATGCTTGCTGGAGTGTCTGCATATACACATGTTCTCAGGAGGGGCTGGCCCAGAGAACTCAGGGCATGATAGAAGAGAGGGCCCAAGTCCAAAAAGGCTTTGCCTAGGCCATAGAGGGGCTTTGAAGCCATGAGTGACCTTTCCTTCTTGGCCCCACAGGTTGCAGACAGACCAGGAGCCTGGCCCCGTTCCTCAGGAAAGCTGGGCCCTTGATGGATATACCAGCCTCCCTGGCAGGACTGAGGACAGCTTTTCCTGCATGGGTAAGTACCCTGGGGAAGACACAGGAGCTGCTGTCTGGACTTTCCTTATCTCCAGGGGATAGAAGTGGCCTGGGCCTAGGGACAGGTTTTTTTCTGTTGTTTTGTGTCAGGACCTCACTAAGGAGTTCAAGCTAGCCTCAAACCTGTCATTCTCCAGTGCTGGTATTATGGATGGTGCCACCACATCCATCTTGGGTCTATCTCTTTTTTTTTTTAAAAGTTTATTTTTTTGAGGAAGGGTCCTACTATGTAGCCCTGGCTGGACTGGCACTTGCTATGTAGACCAGGCTAGTCACCAAGCCAGCCCTAAATTTTTTAAAAATTAAGTATGTACGTGCATGCGTGTGTGCGTGTGTACATGTGTCAGGGCACATGTGGAGATCAGAGGACAACTTGTGAGAATTGGTTCTCTCCTTCCATCATATGGATTCCAGGATTGAGCTCAGGTCAAGCAAGCTTGATAACAAGTGCCTTTACCTGCTGAGCCATCTCCCAAGTCCTCAGGTCTGTCCCTTCACAAGATAATAACCTGTGAACTGCCCTGACAATTTCTTCCATGCTTGACTCAACTCAGGGTAAAGCTGTCAAGTTCAAGAGCACTTCAGGGTCAGGCTAGGAAGCTAGCCATGAGGGGTCAATGTCATGTTTATCCCGTGCTCAGGTTGTGGGAATCTCTGTGTATGTCACTGGGAGATCACAATAGAAAGGTGACAAGCTGGGAGAGTGACAGCCAGGTTGTGGTGAAGCCCAAGTTCAACATGAAGGTGCTGGGAACCCAGAGGGCAGTCCATAGCTACCTGCCTGACACCTGCTTCATTCTCAGGAACACTCTTAATAACAAGTCCCTCCCACACATGTCCCCTTCCCGGTGTCACCCTTTAATCAAAGTGTCACCCAGAGCACTACACTACTAACAAACCCAAAGACCTAAGGCTGACTGGGAAGACCCTTAAATTCAAATTAAGTAATATGCCTCTACCAAGTATGTCCTCAGGTGTTCAGCGTCCCTGGATGAGTGCACGATGAGCAAATAACTAAGTGCCTTGTGAGCCACTGGCTAGAACCTAAGAGAGTCAGATTCTAAAATCCCCCATAGCGTTTAGGTTTCTGTGTTGATTGATTTCCTGGCAACATTAAAAAATAAAAATAAACTGTAGAATTCAGCAACGTGCGTACCAAACTACACGTGACAGCACACTGCAGGAAACTTGCTCTATCTGTCAGTTTCCTAGGCCAAGGGAAATTTGCTCCAGTAAAACAATAAACTTGATTTTGCTTGTGGTGCTGAGGCCGGTGTATGCCAGGCATGCTATACCACTGACACTTGCTTTTAGAAGACCCAGAAGGTTGGCCTTATAGCTTCATCTCTGTGCTCTGCTCCAGTGAGCAAAATTCGAGGTCAGCTCACAGCCTGGCCTTGGCATCATTTGGCAGCATTAGCATACCACTGTATCTTCTCTGTTCCCTGCTGGGCAGGTGGGAAGCCCTTTGGAGCCATCTCTAGAGAGCTTAAGGGCAGCAATCTTGGAGCTACTGCAGAACCGCCATGCTTCCTACAGCAGGCCTTGCAGAGGACAGTCCTGGGGCAGGGCCTGGGCATTTAAAGGGTAACCATCTCCTCCCACAATAAGTACACATGCTGTGGGAGCAGGGCATGGCAGGGGACAAAAGTAAACTGAATTTCACAGGCACTGACAAAGCATCAGAATAGAATGCGGTAACCAGGAAACTATGTGCAGCTCTATTTTTACATTTGCAGTTTTGTTAGCGTAATGGCTTCCTTATGTGTGTACCACATTGTTAGGCTAATGATCTCCATCCACCTAGCCCGGCACTCCTTGCTAATTATGACCCCGTGAGCTGGGAAGGGGACTTTCTTTTCATGTCTGCTGCAGGATGACCCTAGGAAGCCCTTTGACTTGTTAGCTTGGAGAACACCCTCACGGGTAAGATCTGAAAATGTTCTCTAGGTCCCAGGTTAGGCGATCGGTGTGGGGGGGGGCAAGAGCCTTAAACCCTAGAGGGTTTCACACAGAACAATGGGAAGCACCAGCTTCCCCCAAGATACCTAGGGAAGGGGATCAAGGTTCATGGTGCTGCCTGTTGTGGTCCTCGCTAGTTGTCATGGTGACAGACACATCTTTGCTGAGGATCCACTGAGCTCTTTGATGGGTTAGATGGGGAGAGACTTAGGATTTGTCTTCTTTGTGAGGGACCCTACACTTTACTGAGCTTGAAGAAGATGGGGAAGAGAGGGAGAAAGGAAACCACAGTTTACACTCTGTTTTGCTCTTTTACTTCTGAACTCTCTCCGGACATGTCATGAGTCACTCACTTGTGTGCTCTCTACTTAGTCAGCAACTACCCAGTGAGCATTTGCTCTGTGCCAAGCAAACACTGCTGGCGCCACAGAAGAGGAGGGGGCTTTGGTCTGCTTTCAAGGAGCTCACAGTGCAGGGGTTCACTCTGCAAATTCTTTCAGGGTATCTGTTGGTGTCCCTGAAGTCCCACCCAGTGTCCTGCCCATACCTGTTGACAAAGCAGTTGACTGGCTATATCAGACATGCATAAAACATGCTGCAGTAGACCCCACAACATGTGGAACAATGAGTTCATTGCTCTCTCTCTCTCTCTCTCTCTCTCTCTCTCTCTCTCTCTCTCTCTCTCTCTCTCTCTCTGTGTGTGTGTGTGTGTGTGTGTGTGTGTGTGTGTGTCTTTTGAGACAGGGTTTCTCTGTTGTAGCCCTGGCTTTCCCAGAACTCATGTAGATCAGGCCAGCCTTGAACTCACAGAAATCAGCCTTGCCTCTACCTCCTGAGTGCTGGAATTAAAGGCATGAGCCAGCACCTCCCGTCTTGCTCCTAGTTATTGATCATATTGTTTTAATACTAGTATGTGGGAGATAGGCAACTTTAAGCTCAGATATCACCCCTGCCTGTTGGCGAATTCACTGTTTTTGATGAGCAAGGGATCCAGAATGAGCAGTCTGTTGCTCATGCCTCCCCCGTGAGCCAGGTTTCCTCTCCCAGCTGAGAAGAAGCCACCAGTCTTCCTTTTCTCTTCCCATAAGCATGGGGGAGGTGCAGGGTCCTAGAAGGGAAGAGAAGGAGAATGCCAGAGTTCTCTCTGCCATATACCACTCTGCCTGGAATAGAGTCCAAATGAGCATTCTACAACCCTCATGTAGCAGGAGGAATCTTTCCCATCATGCCTTGCTACCATGATGGGGTGTTTGGGGATGCCAAAGACTGTCCACAGCCAGCTGTTCCTTCTGCTTTTGCCCTGGGGGCAAGAGTCTAAGACTCCAGTGCACAGGTGCTTATGTGTGTTCCCTGACTATCCCAGGGTCCACCTGGCTCTTCCGGGGACAGCTTGGGGTTGGGCCCATCTAATCACACTCAGCACTGGCTCTCTCTGCAAGGCCATCATCAGATCTTAATTTGAATAGGCAAGGGAACCAGGGCCGACTCTGCCTCATGCCCGCACGTGTGAGTGAGGCTGTGTTCAAGACTAGAAAGGGTCGCCTTGAGGTTTACATGGATTCCTTAATTACTTCCACTCTGTGGCATGTTTGAATGAGTGCTAAGTGGACACACACTAAAGGGATCTTCTCTCACAGAAGCACGTGTCACCGGGGAGCCAGTCAGAGACTCCTCTCTGCCTCCTCATATGGAAGTTGATAAACACATAGACCAGGAGGGGACTGTGCAGCTGGCCTCCTGCTGGGAGGTTTTACTTGTTGTCTGTGTCTTTTCCCTTGGCGAGCAGACTCTGTCTTTAAGCCACAAGTTCACGTGTTGTCGACTGGGGTGCAGAGTGCTCCTTCTAAGTGGTGTATCTGATGTGACTTAGTCTGGGGCAAGAGTGAAGTATGAACACTGTGCTCTCTGGGATAGCATGAAGAGGTTGTTCTGAGCTTATTGCTGCAGCACAGAGGCGAGGGCAAACATCAAAGAACACAGTGAGGAAAAGCTCCAACAGCCCCTTATAGTTCCCTCGACCTTGGCCTCATTTTCCCTGAGGAGGGATCAGCCTTATGTTCATGATGGACAGTGAGTCAGCAGATGGACTGAAACCAGCAGCATTGCCTCCCAATTCTCAAAACACTTAAGATAGTCAAATGATAGGTGGCCATCATTTATTGAAGCCTACTATGTGTAAGCACACACTCGGTACTTCTTACACAAAGTTCTTTGTGAACACAGTGTGGCTCTTTAAAAATGGTCTTACTCTTGCTAGAAAGGAAACACCTCAGGCTCTGAGAAGCTCTGAAACCTGTCTGAAGACTGTGTCAGGATTTGAGCCCTGCTTGTCTGCAGGTCATGCCCTCCTCCTCTCATCCCCTTCCCTTCCCATCTGCCATCAGGACTCACTATGGTAACTGCACGAGGTCCAAGCTCGGCCCAATTGCTGCAGACCCCTGCCAGGAGGCAGGGAAGAAAATGGGGTCATAGAACCACACACCTTGCTGCCATCTCCCTCAGTCCTAGCAGGCCCCAGGATGTCACTGGCACCACTGTCACTCTAGACCCATGTCATTTCATGCTGAGTTCACACTGCTGTACTCCCTGTCCTCTGGGGACTTCTGGGCCAGGATAAGCCTGATGTCCCAGCCATCCGTGGAGAGAGACATGCCGACAATTGACCAGAAAACAGAGCAAGCATCAAGTGGATGATATCCGTTGTGCTCCAGGGCTGTGTCCCCAAAGGAGCAGAGGAGGCTGCAGTGTGGGCGGAGCCCAGGAGACCCTGTTTACATAAACACAAAAGTCATCTGGGACCAAGCAGGCTTCCAGGAGTTGGGGTGGGAGGGTGTAGCACTTGTAGCAGCAGCTGACACTTATTGTGGCTTTCTGTAAACCAGGCATTGTTGTAAGCATATTTAATCCTCCCAACAACTGCAGCAGTGCCGGAGCCTCTCTGCTTGCACAGAACCTCTCTCTGCCTCGGTTACCTTTTGCAACTGGGCATGGTGGCTCGCACCTGTAATTTCAGCACGT